TGTGGTGCTGCTGCAGCAGCAGCAGCCACGACAGTCGGTGGATCTTATAATAGTCGGAGCCGCGGAAAACACGTGACCGGAGCGAAATGTTATTGTAGGAGGCGGTGTTAGTTTTACCGTTTGTTAACTGCTAGCACCCCAAAGCACGCGCCGCTATTTATAAGACCTAAAACCCGCCACTGTTGCATCTTCTTGCGAGGAACGATTCTCCTCCTCCTCCTCCTCCTCCTCCTCGTTCTCATCTTGGCTACGTGTGTGGCTCGTGGCCGGGATGTGGATTGACACGCGCGAGGAAAGGATCAAGAAGAGAACGCGGTCCTGACCGACGTGGAAGACCTGTCTCTGAATGGAAGGATTGAGAAAGAACAGAAGGATCGAAGGAGGGAGGAAGAGAAAAAGGCCGTCTAGCCGAGACGGGATGTGTGTTCTTTTCTCTCCTGCTTTTGACTTCCGGTTTTAAAGGCTAGTTTATACGCTGACTGATTGCCTGTGAATAATCGTAGTTCATTGCTTGTGGAACCGAGATGAATGGTGGAAATGGTCTGGAACACTTTATTAGCCGCTATTTTAACTTTTGCAACAGATAATAGAAGATAAAAATACTCCTTGAGCAATTATTGGTTTTAGCACTTTACAAGTATATTTGAAGAGAAGCTTTATAAACTATCGAGAGGATAGTTTTATTTTATGTGTTAAATTTTACACTATACTCGATTCATAAAATTTATTGGCTTGGTTTATTGCATAAATGTTGTACGTTTTCTCTTAATGTTTTCGAGATTTTTAAGGAATTTATAAAGTGAATGGAAAAATTATATATCATATATCTCAATCATTTTATAATCCATATGCACAATTCTGCAATATCGTTAAACTGTTAACGCACAACAATGTAAATATTATTCTTGGGCAACGTCTGTCGATAGATAAATTTCAAACGAAAGATTTGAGTTATAGTTTGCGATTTTAAACCATTCTTTCGTCATGAACAATGGTATTCAAACGAAAGGATGAGAGACTCGAGGGAGAAGACCTCGAGAATCAAGGATCCTTAAAAGCTCTAGTTTTTTTAAATGTTGCAATCCGCAAGTGGCTAGTCGATCGTCGTCGTCGTCGTCGTCTCGAAACGAATGCGCGGCACTCACCCAATGCCGCTTTTAATGAAGAAGAAACGTATAAAGAGCGCGTCTCCACCCTTTCATGGCAGCATTCAACCAGAGAAAAGATCAACCGAGTGGAATGAGAATTCGATATTCATAACCGTCGACTCGTAATGCCTCAATGCTCGAATTTAATCGGTATTTTCGTGATGTAATCACCTTGTATCGATCAACGTAATCGTCGCATTTTTAATTTTAGCCACCCCTCTCTATCGAGACTCCCCCGATATTTGAAAACACGTGAGTCATGCGAGCGAAACACACGCACCCACACAAGATATCCTTTGTTTTATTGCGTGAACCTCACGATTTATAGACACGTGATGGCTAATGGCTAAACTTCAACACTCAAAATTCTAAACAATCAACTTATGATTTTAATATAATATTTTTTCAACAATAATATTCTGAAGCGTAACTATTTCTCGATCGAATCAAAAGAATCACGAATCCATTTCCAAGCAACTACAATCGATTCAATTAAACATGGCCATCACTGTCTCCTATGCAACGCCAATCTTAACTACTACTATCATACACAGATGATAAATGCATACGTATTCGATGCAAACAATGCATCGTTCGCAGACGGAACATAAAAAACAGACGCGAAAACAGACGTGCACACCTTTTCGATTATTAATCGCCACGTGGCCGAACCATCGTAATTCATCCGGCCAAACGGATACCACACTCGGCTCTCCTTATACCGGAACACGGTCACGCGCGATTCGATCGATCGATCGTTAATCGTCCAACAACAACGTGCAAAGCTTATTGACGCGTCCAGGCTGGCCCACGACTGGAAATTATCGCGTTTTCGAACGCGATACCTTGGCTTGGGAACGAGCTTCGCTTATTATTCCGGCCTCACCTTGGCGCTCCTTCCCTCTACGTGACTTACCACGCGCCACCATTCACCACCATCTTCTTCTTCTTCTCGAGAAACGCGGGATTCGTGATAAAGACGATGCTTTCCTCTCTCTCTCTGTCTTTCGACCCGTTATAATTCCCCATTAAGGAACATTTTCGCGGGAATAACGAGGAAACGAAGGCGAAGGGGGATGTTTCGTGTAATGAATCAGTTTTAAAGACCTCGCCCCCTCCCCTTCTTGGCCAGGAATACGCGTTTCGCGTTTGGCGGCGGCGTTGTTTGCCTTATGATTTATTTCTCTCGCATGCAAATCCCGCGCCCTGCTTCTTCCTCTCTTCTGGGTTTCTTTCCTGGGATGTGGGCGGGACGAGAATATTTCCGAG